TAATTTATCTTTGCGCTCAGCCAAAACACGTTACTCGAGAACAAGTAGTAGATTCAAAAGACCAAAGTCGGGAATATGTTGTTAGATATTAATTAAATATCATGTTTAACAAATATAGTGAGATTAGATCCAGCGGGAGATCCTTGATGAACACTCTCATCTGGGTAGATGGGCTGCAGCGCATGCCAGAGCATGTGTGTGGTCACGTGATGTGTGTTTTCAGCATTTTGTTGTAGACGGAGAGCTGTTCAGAAACGCTGGGTGAAACGCTAGAGTGGACGCGGATCTTTTTCATTCTAAAACGCTGTTTTAAAACTAAAACACACTAGTGTAAACAGGGCCTGAGTTAACACTTAACCTTCTTTCTGAAATGGGGCCCACATCTGCACTTACTACTGATTTCCACTCACAGGAAGAGGAGAACCAGCAGTCAAAAAAAGTAACTGACATTACTTTGTGGGGGAAAAAAGTAATTTGAGATATTTTCTTGGAAATGTGATGTTTACTAGTTACTTTTAAAACCTAATCTGATAATGTACACTGAAAAAAAATATTAATTGGATGTGCTAAATGTTTTGTGGTTGCAAACAATTTATATGGGCTGAACACTAATTTATTTCATCATTCATTTACCTTCAGCTTAGTCCCTTATTGATCAGGGGTCACCCCAGCAGAATGAACCACAAACTATTCCAGCATGCGTTTTACGCAGTGGATGCCCTTCCAACTGAAACCAAGTACTGGAAAACACCCATACACACTTATTTACATATACGCTCATACACTACGGCTTATTTAGTTTATTTAATTCACCCATAGTGCATGTCTTTGGATTGTGGAGGAAACTCACGCGAACAAGGGGAGAACATGCAAACTCCACACAGAAATTCCAACTGGCCCTGCCAAGGCTCGAACCAGCAACCTTCTTGCTGTGAGCCACCACGCTACCCGACCTGAATTTAAACAAACAAATTATGTAAAACATTACTAAACTGAATTTGTTCTTTAAATTCAGCACATATAAATTGTTTGCAACTACTAACCTAAAAAAAAATAGTTACTCCAATTAAACATTTTTCAGTGTATTTTGCTTTGCTGATACTAATGCATCACCCCCCGAACCCCCTCACTATCAGCAGCAGGTGACTATGACTTCATTCCCACCAAAAGCCTCCTTTGAGAAAGTACATTGGCGGATACGGCGCTCACAGACACAGTATATTCCCACATGTCAGCATGAATATGAGCTCATCTCACATGACCCGTAATGTATGTGCAGGAGGACATTTATAATGCATGACAGATCCCGTCATGTCTGTAAGGAAGGAAAACAACAAAACCATTAGCTTTGGATCCCTCAATATACTGATTGTAAAGAGATTCGCATAAACAGGTTTCAGAGACAGATGTTCAGCTTTCAGGTGCACATCTTTTTCAAATATTTCCCAAATGATGTTTACCAGAGCAAGGAATTTTTCACAGTATTTCCTATAATATTTTTTCTTCTGGAAAAAGTCTTATTTGTTTTATTTTGGCTAGAATAAAAGCAGTTTTTAATTTTTTATGAACCATTTTAAGGTCAATATTATTAGCCGGCTTAAGCATATCGATCGTCAACAGAACAAACCATCATTATGTAATGATTAACCTAATTAACCTAGTTAAGCCTTTAAATGTCACTTTAAGCTGGATAGAAGTGTCTTCAAAAATATCTAGTAAAATATTATGTGCTGTCATCATGGCAAAGATCAAATAAATCAGTTATTAGAGATGAGTTATTAAAACTATTATGTTTAGAAATTCATTCACTCATTTTATTTTCAGCTTAGTCTCTTTATTAATCTGGGGTCACCACAGTGTAATGATCCGCCAACTTATCCTGCATATGTCTTATGCAGCGGAAGCCCTTCCAGCTGCAACCCATCACTAAGAAACATCCATACACATTCATAGACATACACTACGGTCAATTTTGCTAACTAACTTCACCTACAGTGCATGTCTTTGGACTTGTGGGGGAAACCGGAGCACCTGGAGGAAATCCATGTGAACGCCGGGAGAACATGCAAACTCCATACAGAAATGCCAACTGACCCAACCAAGGCTTGAACCAGCAAACTTCTTGCTGGGAGGCGATTGTGCTACCTATTGCGCTACCGTGACACCCACATGTTTAGAAATGTGTTTAAAAAAATTCTCTCCGTTAAAAAAATATAAAATAATTAAAATTTAACAGGATTCTGACCTCAACTGTATAGTATACATAAGTAATTTTACAGATTTATTTCATAGACAGTGAGCGTAAATACTTACAATTTCCCTCATAATAAAGCTTCCAAAAAGATGTCAAATTTTGCTGAGCATTTTTTTTCTTACTGAAGAAAAAAACCTGATGAGATTGCATAACATGCACTGTAAAAATATGTTAATTAACAGTTACGCAACTGCATATTTCAGGAGAAACTGCCTGTGTATCTCGTGATTCATGGCTCGTTTCACACTTATGCACTGCATTATACCTTCATCTCTGCTTTAACAACATTTG